TCGGACTTGTGTGTGTGTGTGTGTGTGTGTGTGTGTGTGTGAGAGAGAGAGAGAGAGAGAGAGAGAGAGAGAGAGAGAGAGAGAGAGAGAAATGAAGTGGCTGCCATGCGCGTAGCCATAGAGGTGTGCTGAAAAGATGCACCCTTCCGGTAGGCGCATATGTGCTGGTACCCAACAGCTATCCGGTAGGGGCGTACTGCAAATTTGGAATGGGTACCCGTGGCGGTTCAGGCCCAACCTACACGGGGGTTTTATGGGAAATTTGAATCATTGTTAGAGGGGCGCGACAGGGTAAATTGCCCGTGGGACGGCTGCGACCGGGTAATGCAAAATAACGGAAATTGCAGGGGCTCCAGACAAATGGTTCTCGAAAAACAATTGCTACCACCTCCAGAGGTGGTAGAAAAATGCCCTTCCGGCGGCCCGCCAGGCAGCTGACATTTGATACCCCGTTTGCTGCTTGTTCGACTGGCCCAACCATCAAATTTTAGCACTTTTGCCATAAAAGGCCGTAGTTTGAGTAGGCCCTCAGGGCATACTCACACTAGCCGTTTTTTTTGCTAAACCCCAAAATCTGCTATGCTGTGAGAGTCACACTAGGGTTTTCCGACCACAAAAATTGCAAACGGAATAAGCATTTGTCAGCGGCCTGGGGGCCCCCGCCGGGATTTGCATTTTGCTACCACCTCGAGAGGTGGTGGCAAATTCTCTTTTGGTCGTAGCAAATTCTCTTTCGCCTTTTGGGAACTCGTAAAAGAAAATTTCCACGCTTTGTGACCATGTGAGGAACCAATTTTGTAATAATTGCCAGAGAGTCCGGCTCGTGTCCTTTCTGATTTGCAGCCCATGTGCGTTTCAGCAAACAGGGGACAGAAAATTCAGCAGATTTTGCTAGACTGCCACAGCTGTGTGAGTACGCCCTCAGACTACTATTTCTCAACAATCAGGGCACACTCGTACCCGGACTTTTTGACTGAATCCGGTCATAGGAGTGGACAGATGCATGTCCATACTGTGAGTAGAGTCTGATCCAGCTTTTAGCTGCACGGACTCGAGTCCGAAGGGATACAATAATGCTAGCGGCCAGCTAGGAAAAAGCCCCCTTTTCCCAATTTTTTTTTAGAAACAAAGAGAAATAAATTGAGTAATGTTCTCCCAAAAAGGAAAAAATTAAAAAAAAGGAAAAAACGAATAGCGACAACAAAACGAAAAGACGATACACCCGCCCTAATCATCCCGTCCGGAAATTAGGAATTTCCGGAAAAAAAATTAATCGTGAAGTCGTCGTCAGAACGGATCCCGCCTGCTGCAACAAGAAAGAGAGTCAGCCCCTAGAGGAGAAACTGACAGTTAGATGGCAAAGGACAGTTCACAACGTCCCACCACCAAAGAAGGAGGCGCTCAAACAGCTCTGGGACCAGCTCAAGAGAATACCGTCACAGAAGCTCGCCTCCCTTCTGTGGCTTCAATCCCACCTGGTCGTCCCCACAGCAGTATGGTTAAGAAACAGGGGTATGGACAGGATTGAAGAGAAGTGTGTAAGGTGTGACTGGCTGTATGAAGATGTAAAGCACTTATGGTGGGACTGTCCTAAGTCACAGAGATGGTGGAAGTGGTGGCTCTTCAACTGGAAAGAGATCACAGGAAGAAACAAGTTTTGTGACGAAAGGCGGGTATTATCAGGGGCGCTGCCAGAAGGATGCGCAGGTAAAGAAGGCTGGGGTTACATGGCCCAGGTCTCAAGAGCTGTAATGATGTGGGTGATTTGGAAAGACAGGAATGCGAAAAGGTTTGACAGAGAGGGATTGGCAGATAAACAGGCCTTCGAACTCTTCAAACGCACACTAGCTAACGAGATCAGGGCTGACTGGCAGTGCACCAGGAAAAGGAAAGGAAGGGAGAAGGGGCAAAACTGGTTTTTGAAAACCTGGGCGAATGGTTCGTGTTTTGCATCAGTACCTCCAGGAGGGAGACTTGTCCTGTCAGACTGGCTGGGCACATGAGGTATAGTGACACAGGCGGTAAGGGAGATTAATAGGGTTATTCGGAAGATAATGGGAGGGTAGGTAGATATGACGAAGAACCAGGACACTCGGTTGCTGTCGGCAATCACAGTAGATTGCAACGGGTAAAGGGTGGGTTGGAGAATGTCAGGGGGGTCAAAGGGAACGCTGAAAGCGCTCCTCTCGGTCGCAACAGGCCGGGTTCAGACCGGCTGTACGTCTGTGAAAGATGTAGTCTTCGAAAGGATAGTATTGTAGTAGTAAGTTTATAGAGGTAGAATGGATGAGGAATTGGTAGTTGAGGAGAGGAATTAAGGAAGTTAGGGAGTAGGCTGCGATCTGTTGAAGAATTATGCAATGGAACACACTGGTATAAGCGAAACTGGCTGAGGCTGCCAGGATAACTCCGGGTGGAATTGTGAGGTCCCCGGCCTCGATTAAATTTTTTTTTGGAATGAATTGAATGGCTTTTCTTTATAAAAAAAAAGAAAAAAGAACGGATCCCGATCTTTTTTGTTTTTTTTGGGGAAAGAAGGGATCCCGATCTTTACAATCCCTAAAACCACTACTACTGTAACAGCTATAAGCGCCAGATCCCATTAGCCCCTATTGTTCATTTCTGACCGTTGATCTTCGTAATCGAGGGTCAAAAATGAATAATCCAGGGTAGTGGGATCTGACCCTTAACTACAGTTAATATTACTATTACAACCTAGGCCGCTTGGCTCGCCCGGCCGTGCAGCACGGTCATGCAATTCAGGCAATTCGAAAAATTTTCACTGAAATTATAAGTACAACTATAACTACACGTACAATTACTATGTTAAAACTGAAATAACAACGATAACCAACCGGGCCTAGCGCAGTCCGGACACCCCCCCTGGGCCGTGGTCCCATTAGCAAAGAGGATCGGATTGAATGCCTGAATCTGGACGTGTTTGCGGACAGGAGCAGGAAATCGAGATAGAACTGCTTTTCTGTATCTCTGCATAAAACATAGCCAGATTCAGGCATTCGATCCGATCCTCTTTGCTAGTGGGACCACTCCCCTGGACTGTTGAAATACAGACTCGAGTTCGAATCCAGATACCTTCAGATGAAGAGAATAAAATCATTCTGGATTGCTTGGGGCCGGTCAGTTCAATGATGATATCTAAAGGCCGTCGTCCTTCAAAAAAAAAAAAAAAAAAAAAAGAGAGAGAGAGAAATTAATAGAATTACAAATTTACACCTATACGACTACACTAATTACAAATAGAACTACAAAGTAAAAAAAAAAAAAAACTACAGCTAGGATTACAACACAGTGCCCAAACAAACTATTAAATAACCTCAACCATGATCCGTTCTCTCATAAATAACGAGCTTCTCATCTCATGGCACGACTCGCATGCCCCCTCAAACCACCCAAAAGGGCCAAAACCCTTGAATTTTTGGGGGGGATCGTGGGGAAACATGATCTCACCAACAGAATCCAACCTACCCTACTACTGAAGTCGCCCTCAAACCCGCTCACCCGCCCAAGAGATTTGGGATTGGGATGATTACGGGAGGCTCAGCCATGTGGTCGTACTCTACGCAGCTCTTCCCTACAGGGGCTAGGTCCCACTTGGCACGAATTAAGAGATACGGACCGTAGATAGCAAAGATCAACGGCCGATATCTCCTAATTTGCGCAAGTGGGACCTTGCCCCAGCGATGGCCCCCTACGAACTTGAAAGGCTTAGCTTGATTTGCCCATCAATCATCATGACTCTGTAAAGCTAAATTGCTGTCATTCCCGTTCATCAACCTATCAGCGAAAAAAAAGAAAAAAAAAGAGAAAAAAAAACAATCAGAAGCCTCCCTTTCGTTATTAGTAACTCATGAATTGGGAGAAAAACGGAAGCTACCGGGAAACTGCCTCCTCTCCACGACCTACAAGTGAGTACTGTCCCTTCGGCACACCCCTTAACATTGGAAACGATACATAGAAGATTGGTTAAGCATGACCCCGGGAAACTTCCTCCTCTCCACGACCTACAAGCGAGTACTGCCCAAGGAAAGGATGACAACGAGGAAAGAAATACAAAAAGAAAAAGAAAAGAAACTACTGCGGCAGTCCAGTCCGGTGAGTGATCATTCCGCTCGCTTCCCCACAATCTGCTCTGCAAGCGAAAACTGCCGAACCGCACATTCAAAGCGCGAAGCGGCGAAGCGGGATGCCCCTTGGCGCCACGAAAAGGTTGCTTTCCCTTCAGCAGATCACAGCACATCATCGCCAATTGCCACAACACACATCGCCAATTGCCACAACACACATCGCGCGGGGGCAAGGTCCCACTTGCACGGATTAAGAGATTCTGGCCGTTGATCTTGGCTATCTACGGTCAATATCGCTTAATTCGTGTAAGTGGGAGATTGTCCTGCAAACACCGTCGCTATCAGCAGGTTGGTTGTGGCGGGAAAACATTCCCGCCAAAAAAAATTATATTTTCGTTGGTTATTCATCCAGTTTCCTACTGGTGAGCGATTGGGCGGCAAGCACGTCCCGGGGCCAGGTCCCACACTAGCAGCGTTGAGTTTCCTCAACGCCTGAATCTGGACGTGTCTGTGGATATGTGCAGAAACCGCGTTGAGTTTTCTCAACCGCACATCTCCACGAACGCGTCCAGATTCAGGCGTTGAGGAAAACGCTGCTAGTGGGACCTGGCCCCCGCCATGATGCAATACTTCTGCGGTCGTTGAGAACCAATCCCATGACATCGGTACTGAGATCGCCACATGAGATCGGGACCGCGAGCGCCACATGAGATCGGGACCGAGATCGGCACTACCGACCGTTACTCAATCCAGGCTCCCCATTTGAAATCTAGAGATTCCACTTCTGAACCTTCGAGCTGCTGACCCCCCGAATCAATTCACAGGCTAGGTCCCACTTACACGAATTAAGATATATTGACCGTAGATAGCACTTCAACGGTCAGAATCTCGTAATCCGTGCAAGTGGGCCCTTGCCCCAGGTGGTTGTTTTTATTTCCCGCCTTCGCCGACGAGGACGGGTGCCCGTTACGCTAAGGGCATCCTCACACTAATAACCTTTTTTTCCACTTCTCTCTCTGATTCCGCTTCTGGTACTTGGATCGGGACTCTCGATCGCGACCGTCTTTCCCTCCACCGTTCCCCCATCGCCGCCGTACTGAGTATCCGGTCGATCCGCTGTGCCACGTCACCCATCTCTGGTCTCTCATCTGGGTCAAGTTCAACGCATTGTGATGCCAGTGTGAACGCGTCAACGGCCACTGACCGCAACGACGTGTCCTTGGCCATCTCGTCCTCCAAGGAAGGATCAAGAAAGCGCTCGATTGTCTCAAAGCTCGGGCGATCGAAGCATGCCTTGGCCCAGTGCACGATGTTCTTCCACCTGTTCGTCAGCGGATCGTTTTCAATTGCATTTCGCCCAGTGAGGATTTCCAGCAAGAGCACACCGAACGAGTACACGTCTGTCTTCTCTGTCACTTCTCCTCCCGACAGGCACTCCGGTGCGAGGTATCCCACCGTTCCCCGCAGCGTCGACGCAAACCCGCCGTTAGCTTCTCCATTAGCGTTTTCGGTAACGGTTTCGCCGATCTTGGCCATTCCAAAGTCGGCGAGAAAGGCACGTAGCGCCTCCCCAACGCCGTCGTTCAGCAGCACGTTTAGACTCTTGATGTCGCAATGAAAGATCGGAGGGTCCACTTCTTTGTGGAGGTATCTTACTGCGTTCCCCACGTGTGACGCTACAAGGATGCGCTCCTTCAGAGTCAACGGCCGCAAGGACTGACCAGGAGATGTCTCCTCCTCGGGGGATACCCCCGGCAGCGAGCAACCGGTCGGACAACTCTGATTGGGAGTGGAAGAGGAGAGGTTGGAGGAAGAAGAGAGGGAGGTATGCCGCTGCCGACCGGCCGGCCGCTGGTGCAAGCGGGCGTGCAGACTGCCGCCCGACTTGTAAGGGTACACTAGTATCGGTCGCTTTCCGTCCTCGCAGTAGCCGATCAGCTCGCACAGGTTGGCGTGATGTACCCGGGTCAACGTGTCAACCTCCGTAATGAATTGCTGCCACATTCCTGGCGTCAGACTCCCCTCCATGACCTTCACCGCAATTTGCTGTTTCTTCACCTTTCCGCTGCCTCGTTTCTCCTCCAGTTCCCCCCAGTACACGCGCCCGAAAGCACCCTCCTCTCCCAACGGACTGGAAAAATCGCGCGTCCATTGCGACAGCGACTGGAACGAGAACCTCCTCGCCGTGTGCGGGTTGGGCTCTATCAAAGCATATTTACGACTAATGCTACACAGATTTCTACCACTAACGATACACAGATTGGGTTTGCGAGATCGGGCACGGATTACCATAAAGATAGCGCCAAAGCAAGTGAGGAGGATGACAGAACCGAGAACGGGAATGACGACGGCGGCGGCGGCGGCGGTGGAGGCGTTCCCCCGTCGCCTGCTCTCTTCGGAAGATTCGAGGGGGGGGGTGGGAAAAGAACTAACGACTGCAGAAGAGGGATTTGAACCCCCCTCCTTGCAGATCGTGGGTTGGGATTCTGGAGGTGAAGAAGGAGGAGGCGTGGCTACCTTTCTGCTGAGGCTGGATGTGTTGACAGAGATCTCGAGCATCAGCCCGCTGGTGGTCCCCACGTAGAGGAGCTGGTCGTCCTCGCTGATCGCCAGGCCGCGGAAACCCCCGCCTTCGAATCTGGCGGCGACTTCCATTTCCCGCGCACATCCGCAAGGGGCATCGAGAGTAATCCACCACAGTATGCCAGAGGCATCGGTGACGAAGACGTTCACGCCGTCCGACGTGGTCGCGACTTCGCCGAGGCTGCCATCGCGGAACAGCGCGAGAAGGGCGCAGTCGGTAAGGTCGCTTACCCCGGCTTCCTTCCTGGTAATCCCGCGCAGTCGTCGAGACGCGGGCTCGAATCCCCAAACTCTGCCCTCCTCTCTGTCGATGAAGTACAGGCAGCTGCTGCCATCCTTGCTAAAGCTGCGCGAACCGAAGAACGGAGGATTGACAACCCTCGGGGCTGCCGATGAGTTCCAGGGCGCCAACGCCACCGCCACCGCCGCCGCCAGCTCAGCGGTCGTAGGGCGATCTGGGCCGTCCACTTTTGCCGACAAGATCCGTGGAACGAGCCCCGATTTGTCACCGATGTACAAGCACGTTTTGTTCTGATCGAAGGCCAATCCGCGCGCTGTATCGGCGGGAACCCGAATCGAGGTCCGGAAGCCATTCGCGACATCCAGAGAGGTTATCCACGATGCGTTCCCCCTGACAGTGTACGCGCTCAGCAGGAGGTGTGTTCCCTGCTTAGACAGCTCGATGCCATCGACGTAGACCACTGACGGCGTTGGAATACCATCTCCATAAATAAGCGGATCGGACGGCGGCGGACCGTCCGGCATGGACGGCACCCAGCTATGGCTGATCAACGTCTGGCTGGCAAGCTGCTCAACGCCCTGCCGCACTCCAGACAGGTTCCCCTTCATGAACATCGCCGACTCCCCACTCCTCTTCCCTCCTAACTCGTAATAGCTCTCCACAACGTAATAGAATATCAGACCGTCTGGCGCGAAACGGATATTGCCGATAGCAGTAACGCACCGCGGCTTGGCGGGAAAGGCTGCCAACAAACCAGGCAGCGAAATCATCGAGTGACGTAGGACGGTTCGACAGGCAATTAAAAGAGATCGGTCTAGCAAGATCTCGCATTCTGGCGGTTGAGCGGGAGCACTGCTACCAGTAGGAGGGAAGAGAGAGGGTGAGGCAATACTACTAGCGATAGGGGAGGCTACGCTTGTCCCAGGCGGCGGGGAGATTCTGCTCTCGCTAGGCGGGTAACTACTGCTCTTTGACGCTGAGGCACTGGTCTTAGGCGGCGGGGAGATTCTGCTCTCGCTAGGCGGGTAATTACTGCTCTTTGACGCTGAGGCACTAGTCTTCAGCGCTCTCCCCAAAGAGGGTTCTTCTCCCGCTTTTTGTTCTACAAGTTTGACACAACGGCGGGAAGGAAGACCTAGATTGCACGGCTGTCCCTTAGTCTCCACCGCTGAACATCCGCAGCGCTGCGCCAGTACAAGCAGTCCTAAGATTAATGAGGTTACTGCTATGGATGGCCTTTCAGGCCACCTGCTGCCAAGCAATGCCAGCGTGGTTGCTGTTGAGCTGGAGCGACTACCGGTAGCCGGGACGATGGCAGTGGCCATACCGATGGAGATGGTGATATGGTGAACCACCGTGGTTGTGCTTCCCCTCTCCTTGCTGATGAATTGGCCGATCCCTCCTGGAGGTACTGTTCACAGCATCACAGCTCTACACTCCGGCGCAGCAGCCGCGAAGATCCGTGGCGGTTCAATCCCGTCGAAACCGCAGACTGAAATTGCTAAGACGGCCTTTCTATCCCAATAGGGCGCGCGGTTCGACTACTGCACTCTATCGTGTACCGAGTTTTGGGGCAAAAGTGACAGCAAGAAGTTGATTTGAAAGAGAACAACGGCGCTCTCCAGCCATCCGATCAGCAGAGATGTTGCGCCTCGCTCCACTACTCACACGGGGACCTATAATCCCAAAATCCCAAAAAAAAGGGGAAAAGGCCGGTCACACGGATCTACCAAATTCGCAAATGTATGTACTATTCCAGTGCCCATTTGCCAGCGGCCTGGGAAGCCGCGGGGCAAGGGATTTTGCGTTCACCTCTGGATCTGACCGCAAATGCTCTAAAATCGTTCACAAAAGTTCTTGCACAATTTGTGGATGCACCCTGTGACCAGCCAAGTACCAAATCCGCATTTCTCCAGACGGCCGCGACCTTGTTCCATCTGAAAAGGTACAGCAGTGTGACGTGAACCATGCCCAAAACCTCAAATGCGGAATTTTTTTTTTTTGAGAAGATGTCTCCGTTTTTTTTTGTTTTTTTTTTTTTATATGTTTAAAAATTTGGACCATTTCTCGATTTATGCGTGTCATCCTTGCGCAGGGGCCATGCTAATCTTCTCTGTATCAGGGGGGGCCCAACCGGTGCGTTACCGCCAGCGCGATAGCGCTCGATACCCGGTGACGGGTAGAGCGCGCCCGTGGCTCTACCACCACGATAGCACCACGGATGTTGACGAGAAGCATAGCGCCGCCATGTCGGCGCGACATAGTTAAGGGCTATGGCGTCTCCCAATAAGCGACTCCGGTGATGGACCCCATGGTACTCTAAGTTAGTAAGTGAGTCGAGACGAGCAGAGTGAAGTCAGAGATAGGTGTCTGCGGAGACAGGGGTGATAAGGTTTGCATTAGCATAGCTCGGAAAGAAGGTTATTAGCCTGAGTTACGGAGGTCGGGAGATGGCAGAAGTGGTGATGGACCGTGAGGCGAGATCTCCTCCAGCCGCCCCGACAGACGCGGAGGAGGACAATACCAGGCTTCGAGAATTATCAAGGAGATGCTACGAGGATGGGGTGATGACCACCAACATCGATCCGGGGGTGATGAGCGGTGAAGGTCGAGAGGTCAGATTTAAAGTCAATAGGACAATCGACGAGGTTAAAATAGACTGGCTGAAAGAACACACGGTCACGGTTATATTCCGCGAAGGTGCACGATTCTTGTCTCGCAAAGTCAAAGAAGATATAGTAAGAGCGTTTGAAGACGAGAAGGTGGCGGATGGTTCATTTGAAGCTTCGTCTTTCAGTCGGGGAAGAGTGAAAATTGAGAGTCCCAACGTTCTATCATACGTAGCGAAGAACTCGGCCATAGCCACATGGTTAATCCTCAAAGGAAGGGATGAGCTGTCGATTGGATCAAACCGATATGTACTGGAATTTAAGCCGTGGCTAACAAAGGCTCAGTTGAGGCTTCGAAGACAGGAAGAAGACGATGCAGGCTTTTGGGTAGTCGCCGTTCAAGTACCATTGGACGCATTCTTCTATCTGGAAGCACAAGTGGCACGTGCGATTGGACCGGTGCTGCGTACTTATCCGGCGGAGCAGGACCGTTTGAAACCGGCATTGATCAACATCAAGTTTGACATTGACCCGACATCACAAGGCAACATGAAAGATCGCATAAGGGTTGATACATGCGAAGGCGACGAGCTCGAAGTCAGATTGGCGTCTTCGGAGACTCCGAGGTGCAGAAGATGCAGAGCGTATTTTCATACGGAAGCAGATTGCAGAAGAAATAGACAACAGGCCCCGGGGGAGTCATCCCAACAAGGCCATGCAGCAACGGCAAGCCGTCCACTATATCAGGGCGTGATGGGACCAGTGGGGAGTCAAGAAGGGGGGGGCAGTGGTCCAAACTTCCCTAATGGAGGAGTGCCTGTAGGGAGCGGAAGTGGACCACTGGGCTCTTCGGGATGGATTGTGGGTGGAGCAGGAACCTCTTTGATGGGAGGAGTATCCATGAGTTCGGTTCCAGTAACACAGCAAGCAGCGTATGCTGGAGCCCCCTTGAGCTTTCTCCATGCAAACCCTGTCGTCGGCCGATTAACCACTAATCCTATTTATTCGCCGGAGATGCATGCCACTCTGAGTGGCATCTTTCAGATGTCAGGGCTTCATCCATGGTTGGCACCTCCATTGGGTTCCCAATTCAGGGACTCGACACTCTTTCTGTATGGAGATCCAATCAGTGGTGCGATGCAGCAGCAGTTCTGAATGCCTTTGCAGACGGGGCAACTACAAGTTCCATGGAGGCCGCCACCTGGAGGTCTTCGGTCGGAGGTTCACCAGTCGGAAGCTTCGCCTGTACTAAGAACAGGCCACATGGAGAGGCAGGAGGCCTCGACTTCGTCCTCAGCCAATCTCGAAACTCGATCATCGTTTGGGAAACAGAGACGGTTAGACGGGAATGTCTCAACTTCATCACTCTTCAGGAACGAGGATGGTTTGCCGCCTACTGGCTCGGAGAATTCACTGAATTCGATACCTGGTACTCCAGGTACGAAAACAACTAGAAGGCGTACCCCGGCTTCTCTACGACGAGGTCAAATTCATGATTTGGAGGTAAGGTTACTTCCATTGTTCTGCACGGCGGTTCGAAATAACCTCTGGTGGTTAACTTTCAGCAGCATGGATGAGGCTCCAGCTATGGTAAACATCGAATCTCCGGAACAACCCATGCCCTCTTCCATCTACACTTTGATCCGTACTGCAATTAGGGGCAAATTCCGATTCAGATGGATAACTAGTGAATTGATGGTTCGTTTGATTGTAGATTATCCTGGCTCCACGAGCAAGAAACTGAAATTCTTTGTCCCTCTGTTTGATGTCCAATTTGAGTCTGGTCAACTAGAGGCCTTGGAGGTCGAAGGATTGAAACTTCTCCCTCTGTCTTGGATTTATGAGAAAAAACGATAGGAACTGTCACGTGTCCGGATCCTTCCGTTGTGTTCTGCGGAAATTCTGACGGATGTGGATGGAAGGCTGCCAAATGCAAAGAAACTGAACTCTCAGTTCTTAAAAAAATGCATGTCTTCCCCGTGGGACGATCTCACCTCCGGTATCCAACACGAGGAGGGGGGGCAGTGAGTCATGTCTAAGTTCAATGTTGCCACGTGGAATCTGAGAGTTTTAGGAGATACAACTAGAAGGCACAAACGGAATAGGGTAAAGGAATGGCTGCATAAGAATAAATGTCTTATTGCATGTTTTCAAGAGACAAAATTAAACGAGGACAAGATCAATGCCTTGGGCCATTGGTGGGATGACCCCAAAGTGTGGTCTCCTGCGATCGACACGAAAGGCGGTATGGCCATTTTAATCCACAGAGACCACGACCTTGAGATCATCGACTTCTACGCAGATCTTTGGGGAAAGTGGTGCTGGGTTAAAATTTTCAAGGATGGAATTGAATGGGTAGTTGCTTCTATTTATGCACCTGTTGACCGCTCAGAACGTAGCCAGTTTTTTGAAGAACTACTGTATGTCATTCCGGATTGTGATCATCTCATCCTCGGAGCGGATTGGAATACTTCCCTAGACGCCACCTCATCTAGACATAATGATTGTCGCGATAAGGATATGATGTTGTCCCTGATGAACGAGCTTAATCTGATTGACCCCTACAGACTGTCTCATCCGAATCAACTAGGTCTCACGTGGTTTTCTAACTGTAATGACAGAACTGATATTATCTCTTTGGAGACTGGATTATTTTTTGATCTCTTATGGGTTATGGGACTCGGTAAATGATATAACAGAATCCTTACAGTCTCTCTCTGATCATAAACCAGTGACCCTTACCATAAGGTCTTCGACGATGAACAGAGGCAGAGGCCTCTTTAGATTTAACGTCCAGAATCTAGAAGACCCTGGTCTTGTAGATTGGATGAGACGCTTTTGGGAAGGATGGGAGTTATCCAGAGACAAGTTCCCTACTCGGGAACAGTGGTGGAATTCGGGCTCTAAGATTTTTTCCAACCTTCTCAATGTGTTCTCTAGACTGTTGGCAAGATCGAGAGCACAAAACGAGGGGTCAATTAAAAGAAAAATCCTGTACGCGGAACAGAGAATGGTTGAACACCCGATTTTCAACCTGGTGTGGGGGAAGGAAAGAGCCAGACTACTTACAGAATGGGAAGACCTGCAAAAGAAGGAATCAGATGTCTGGTCGGAGCGTCTGCTAGTGAAAGGTATTGTGGTGTATGATCGAATGACGAAAGAGTTCTTTCATAAATTACTCCCGCGTCGATCATCCACACGAATGAGTGAGTGAAAACATCCTTTTGACTCCGATGCTCTGAGGGCCAAGGCATTGACAAACCTATGCGAATATGCGGCCATATATTATAAAGACATCCTCACATCAAGATTGCAAGGTGTAGAGATCACCGAGGATTTGGATGCAGACTGTGAACACTGGAAGTGCACAACAAGTAGAATCTTGACGAGTGGGCGTTTAAACTTGGACCGACCTATCACGACCGAAGAAGCGTATGAAGCGCTCAAAGCCATGTCCAAAGGTAGGGCACCGGGAGACGATGGTCTCCCAGTAGAACTATACCTAACGTTGTGGGATTCGGTCGGCAATAGCTTGGTGGAAATCTACAATGAGACGTTGTTAGGGTCTAACCTGTTGGCCAATATGCGTCATGGAATTATCTCTGTATTATTTAAAAAGGGTGATCGTTCAGAAATACGCAATTGGAGGCCAATTTCGATTTTAAACGTCTCCTACAAGCTGCTAGCCAAAACATTGGCTAGAAGATTGGGGAAATACCTCCCAGAGTTGGTACAGAGTGATCAGGCGACTTTTATTCAAGGTAGATCTATTTTTGACAACATAGTTACCGCCAATGAGTCCCTGGAAATAGAATGATTCCTTGGACGTGGCAGCGCTCTTACTCGACTTAGAAAAAGCTTACGATCACGTGAATTGGTCTTACGTTTTGACAACGCTGAAAGTCATGGGGTTCGGAGCCAATTTCAGAAAATGGACAGTAGTCATGTACATGCTGTCAACTGCAGCTGTCATGGTTAATGGCCAGGTCTCGGAGACCTTCCCTCTGTCACGATCATTAAGACAAGGGTGCCCACTTGCTCCCTTGCTGTTTGCAGTCCAAATAGAAGTCCTGTTGAACAATATCAGAGAGAATGTGTCGATTAAAGGCTTGAAAGTTGTCCCGGGCCAGTGCAAAATTAAAGCACTTGCAGATGATTTGTTTGCAGTTTATGAGAATACGGAGTCTTCATTAGCGGCCCTGAGGATGGAATTGGCTAACTATTGTGATCTTTCTGAAGCTTCGGTAAACTGGCATAAATCAATGTATCTCCTCCCTGCAGTCTTTTTCCTGAACTGTGAATAGGGCATGAAGCGTATCACAGAGGATACGTCCGAACGTTTTCTAGGAGTTCAAATTTCCCTCTTAGATTGTGCCGGTGATCAAGACGACTTGCTGCTGCAAAAGTCCGTGCAACGTGTGACTATGTGGGGCAAGGCCCCCCACTTATCCTCATTTGGAAGGGCAATGGTGATCAATGGAGCTCGGTTTGCGCTATTGTGGTTCGTGGGAACAGTTAGACCACTGGGGAAACAGCTGTACACCCTGACCAAAAGGCGTGCGACAAAGTTTCTATGGAAACCGTTTGCTACAGATGATGAGGCGTTTATAACCAAGGTGGCCTGGGAAACTATATGTCTACCGAGATCACAGGGTGGCCTGGGGATTCTGGACCCTATGAAACAGAACAGTGCTATGCTGGCACGTTGGCTGATTGATGCAAGTATGAAAACCCCGGCCCCCCATTGGGCTGTGATGGCTGAATATTTTTTAGCTAAGGAATGAAATTTAGCTCGCCCTGAGGACGTGTGGACATGCCTGATGATGTTCTCGTTTCAACGGAGACAAATCAAGTCTTGTTTTTGGAGAGCAGTGGTTCTGGTATGGAAGAAACTCAGACCTGATGTCTGGGTTGAACCTACTACCACTGCAGAAATTCTATCTCAGCCTCTGTTCGAGAACCCGTACATTAGTGCTCCGGGAGGGGACAGGATTAAAGCGGATAGATCAAGCTTTGGTAGGAAATGGATTGAGCTCGGGATTCTCAGAATTAACGACATCTGGGATCAGATCCAAGGTAGATGGAAAACTGAATCGGACCTTAAAACTACCCTTGGACGGATGAGGAATATCAACTCTAAGCTTGCGCTTCTGATTGATGCGATCCCACAACATTGGAAAGCTCATTTGGAGGCGGATGCTGTTGATCCCATAGGCACCTGGTACGTCTGTAGAAATGGGGATCAATCCAAACTTTGGAAATTGATGACGTATCAGCCAGATGGGAGGAGGATTTTCCAGGGCTGGCAGACCACCCAAAGCATTAACCTGACACAATTAGAAGAGGACGGCTCTCCACCAGTAGAGTCTACCTTTTCCTAGGTGCGCGTAAGAGAGCTGTTGTAACGGGAGTGAGGCTGAGGGTGAGCCGAGGGAGAGGAGAGAGAGAGGGAGAGAGTGAGAGCACACACACACACTCACTCACTCGACACGACGGACTCGGACTGAGGGTTGGACGCAGACACAGTGGCAAGGCACAAAGTCGAAGTCTTGGATTCCCAATGCCGAAACGGCAAGTCACACTGAGTACAAGTACAGCAGCAGAGAACTGGTACGAGACTCGTCCCCGTACC